AAGGAACAGGACTTGGAGAACAGGGTAACCAATGCCCTCTTGGAGCCAGCCAACAAATAGCAAGCTGTCAGACCATCAAATACCCTTGCAAAATGTGAGGCAATAACTGCCTTAAAATTGCCATAAACAGTGCAGCAGAAACACCTGCCTGCTGCTAAGCGGGCTCACCACAATGCCACTTCCTGCCAAGCTGGGCAGTTGGGCCTTGTTTTGCATTTGCCTGGCACTTCCAGGAACTCCAGGGGCCTCAGCAACCAACTCCAACTGCATTTCAATACATTCTGCATGTTTTGCATTTTATAAAAATTAACCCACGCAGCCCCTGTAGCAATCTCAAATCATCGACAGCGATATCCAGCACTGGCTCCCAACCCGAACTTTAAAAAACAGGTATCCTAAAGTTGTCAGCTGTGCCTCACTGCCCCCTCACACACAAGAGAGTGAGGACTCTCAGGAAGTGAGTGAGAAGAGTCACACATCCCAGAGTTCAGCAACTTTGTTTTCATGGTGAAATCTGGGGAGCAGGTGTCAAGGAGCTCCAGGCTACTCCATAGAGAACTCTCCCCAGAGACCAAACGTAGAAACTACGGAAATGGCCTGGGTCACGCTGTGTCCAGCACGTTGCATATTTTCATGTCCATCAAAACAAGTTTATTTAAAGTACAAAATATTCAAGACCTGGACTACACACAATAAAAATCCCACAGAAATTAAGAGAAAATTCTGAACATTTTTCAACTATAATTTTAATTAATGGAAATATCAAGAGCAGAATCTTTCATAAATTATGTGACTTCAAAGAAACCTATGGAAACATGGATCTCCAAACTTCCAGCCACCGAACTTGTGGGTGCCTGCTCAGCCTGCCTGCTGCTTAATCCACAGTAGAGAAGTTCACTAGAGACACACAAATGGAAAAAGCCAGAAACACGGGACCCGAACAAGAAGCTGGACAACAGAACAGGCAGGTGGGCAAAGCATGAAGCAAAGCAGTATGGACATGGCAGCTGTCTGATCCCCTGCACTTACAATGCAACAGGGCCAATAGGTTCCTGTGCCATTTCCTCGCAGTCCTCCTAATGAAGTGACCTATAACTGAGATTAGTAAGGCTTGTGATAATAAAAATTGCCAAAGATTATTTTCCCAGAACTCAAAACTGAATGATGCTTGATTGGTATTTCAAAACATAACATCAAAAAAATAATAAATCACCAAATCTACAGCTTTTAGGTTATTTTCTTGATCCAAGAAATACACACTACAGCAGGACCTGGCAGTAAAAACATAAGAACATTTAAGGGCACATTTTTGTATGAGTATTTTTTATGTCGAAAGCATAGCTTCAAAAAACTCCTTCATGTTTAAATATGTGACTGCTTTAAATGAAAAGTTAGTGCTTGCTGCGCTGGCTTCTCAAGCTGTTATTTTATGCCTTAAGCCAAATTTAAAAGAAGCAACCCCAGAGTGTAACATCAGCTTGTCTTCACTTACAGCCTTGTTTCATTTGCATTCTTTCAACAAGGAGCCGTGAAACATTAAGCAACCTGAATAATATTTCTGACTTGTAACAGCAACTTGGATGTGAATTATCCTCTGATTACTCACATTACAACAAGGCTTCTTTATCTTAAAAGTATTCTGAGTGCAGATAAAATTAAATGAGTTAAAAGTACTACCATTAAACACAAAAATACTATTACACTCATCATTTATAAGTCCAAATATATTGTATATTTATGTAAAGTCCATAGATACTGTAATCAGTAGCTGGACCATGTGTTTTTCATTAGAAATCTTTAAGATAAAACACCATGGTAGAAAAATTATTAAATATTGATATAGAATTACATATGAAGGGAATCATCCACCTTTTTCTTTCTTTCTTTTTTTTTTTTTTAAACTGTGTGCTAGAGAATTGAGTACATTTCTAAAACATTATCTAGGTACACAAAGCTTCAGGCAGAAGCACACTAACAACGTATGGAGGAATGAGGTCCTGCTGGGACTTCCACACCAATAGTGGGATTGGAGGAGCCCAGATGAGCCAGCACAATGGCAGCTGGCTTGCTAAAGGTTTGCAAATATTGATCGTTCCACAGTATAGAGCTACACTTGCAGTAATGAGGGATAAGACCTGTGCCTTGATAGCAGTGAAAGCAAAAGCCAGTGTCATTGATACATGCTGCAAGCCATACTGTGTGCTGCAGCCAGCTGGGACACTGGTTATTAGGCTCTGCTGCAGGACAAAATAGTATGATCCTTGGCTCCCTTACAACAAGGGCATTGGAAAACACTAGGATGCAAACTGAAAGTATTACTAAGAACATAGAAGTCTAAGTCTAAAAGAGGGTGAAATGTATGCTTACACATACAGTTTCCATGGTTTTAAATCACAGTGCTCTTGCTCACCAAGTTTCAGAAGCCACCCCCCATTCATCAACCTTTTTGCATTTCTGGAGAGCTGAAGGGAGACAATGAATGGTTAAAGCTAGGAGTCTGGCTGAAAAATTCTTTAACAACTTCTGAAGTTTTAATGCAGCATTCATCAATATTTCTACTCTCTCTCCACCTTTCAGATTCTCAGCTCTATTTTGTACTATTAATACTGAACTATGCTCCTCAGAGTACCATCCAGACCAAAGAAATCTTTCTGTTGGAGTATCAGCCTTCCTTTGTGAATGCATGAAAAACACACTAAGAACTCTCTACTAGGAGACCCCCTGCTTTTCTGCACATTGGTCATCTGCAAAGAGAAGAGGGGAAGTGAAAAAGGGAAGCTGGATGGAGAATGAAGTTGGATGGAGAATAAAGATGGCTGGGAAATTTTAGCAAAACTTTCTCCTGAAAGAGAGATTCAAAAGCGTCAAAAGCTTTCATCAAACAGAAGCAATTGATTTTCTTCTTCCTTCAGTGGAATGTCGAGGAGTCCATGAAGCCCTTTGATGATTTCAGGTGGAAAAGTCTTAGTGAAATTAGGCTCAACACGCTTTTTAAGAAAGTACAAAATGGATAATACTGAAGCATAGCATTTGTCTAAGTCATGCTCTTACACTCAATTTGAGAAACAGTGGAAGCCACCTCACTGTAGTTGGGATGGAGTTTTTTAAATTCCACATTTCCACAATGCAAAATCCATTCTCTGTCAGCATTGGCTAGTAATCTCCCCTTCTACACTATGTAGCAGGACGCACCCCAAAGGCAGCTGTAGGTACTTTTGAGTATGCTTATATGGCTTAGGAGAAAGGCAGGAAGAGGTCTCTCAGATACTCTGTTTCTGAACATAAAAATTAAGCCTGGTTACAATTTAGGGAACAGTTTATCTTTGAGAATGACATTGAATGGATGTAGTTGCCACAAATCTGCTCTTGTCATCCTACAGCATAAACCATACACACACAACTATCAGACACAACCATACATTTCTCACTAGTCATAAAACATTTTATTTAAGTTCCACACTAAAAAACCACAAACACGAACACCATTCTGGTGGGCTGCAATAGTCCTCCATTTCTTTCGGATACCTGGGACCAAACAAACCCCACCAGACTATGTCAAAGGGTTAGTGGGCCACCATGTCATGTCTAGAAGAGCCCCACAGCCAGGTACAAGGTAGGACAGATGCAATCTGTCAGTTATAGAGTAAATTGATTATCCGGTGTGGAAAGGAAAAGGCACTACTTCATTTTGTGATCGGGAGCTGCTGTGTTCAACAGCACCTTTGTACAAACATACATATGCACATACAAATAAAACCTCTAATTGTGTGGGTGCATGCTAAGGTGGTTCTGCATTTTGTTGCAATCGATTCACTCAGTGCTTCTACCACTGGAGGGAGTTAATTCTGGTCTGCATTCCGCATGAAGCATAACAGAGCACATACATTAAGCCACAGTTAAAGACACTCATACAGCACCGGCACACCTAGCCACTGTATGTCTGGTAGATCAAAAGAAAAACAACATCAGAAATGCCCATTTCAAAAGATACACAGCAAGGGATAAATACTCCCTCACATCAGTATTATTTTAAGAAACTTACTGTGTATGATTTTCAAAATGATATCTTTATAAAAAGTAGTGGAAAGATTTCCTCCATTTTTAAAAATAAACCAAGAAACCACAGCAATTTCCTGAAATTTCAGCTTCAGCTTTACACTTCTGTTCCTTGTGGCTCCAGTGTTAATTTGTTTTTCCATTCTTAATAACTAAGATGCTGTTCATACTATTTAATGAATTTTCAGGAACACATTTACCTCTGTTATCTATTTAACCAGACTATAAAATTTATTTTAAATTAATGAAATTTAATTACCTAGCATTCACTATTTAATACAGTTCTGTTGCGTATTTATGTTAAATGGTGTATTTTCAATGTTAATTCTATGTAATTAAAATTATAACCTTAATTGTACATAAGGTTTGGACAGGGCCCTCGGTAAGATGCTACAACTGTTGGTTAGCCCTGAAGTGGTCAGGCATCTGAAGTTCTCTATTCCTACTATTCTATTTCTATTGCTAAAAATGAAGCAGATAAAGCAACGGTAGAAAGATAAATCTATAAATAGATACTGGTTTCTACCTGGTTCTCTTAGTAGGCAATACTTTCAGGACATGGAGGTGTGTGATTCTGAGCTGTGAGAATTGATATATTTCTTATATTTCAAATAAATCAATATTATAAACTGCTCTGCTTAATTGCTTACAGGTGTATCTCAATTAAAACCCATGAGGATTTTACTCCATTATTTACACACAAGTAATTAAGCACATAATCACATTTCAAGCAGCTTAGACTCAAACTTCTATGGAGCCTTAGACTCCTAATAAAAAGAAATATTTATTTCATATCATTTTCAGTAAGACAGTTCTAGTTAAATCACTTCCCTCTGCTAAGGACAGACCCAAACCCAATTGTTCAGAGCCAAAAATTATCAGCAGTGCATAATTCCTGCATCCCCTAGAACACAAGCAGCTGTTTTCAGCCTTGTTTTCAGTTGGCATCTAGAGGCAGTGCCACTAATTAGCACACTTTTCTAGCAAGCTGATCACGCAAAAGAGGCTACAGAAACAAAACTCTCTTTCAAAAGCAATGCCTGAGGACTGCAGAAAAGTAGCACAGAAATTTGTGGTCTTTAATAACAAGGCTCGTTCTATATAGGACACCTGAATTTCCAGGAATGTCCTGGTACAGCTGGTACATTTCATATGTGTAAAAGCTGTAATTCTTGAAAAGCTGCAGGACCTCATCTTTACCAAAAGGCTCATCAGAATGAGTGCAATCATAATTTGGAGTTAAATTGCGTTATTTTTTTTCCAAATAATTTTTAAATCCTTACTTGCCTTTTTGCATAGTGTGCCTGGAAAGTTGCATAAAGTGTGTTCTTGAGGGCTGCACCTAATTATATTGGGCATCCAGAAATAGGTGCATCTGACTCAGAATTTCTGCATGCTTTGCCAGCCAATCAAACCATAAGACATGCAAGCTATGGTTAAATTAAGCAATAAGACACCGCAAGCTGCAAGTTGTGACTTATCGGCACACAACACACCGCAAAGAAGATCACAACAGGAAACAGTTCTAAGGTAGTAGCTGTCCTCAGCCCAGCTAAGAATATCATCATTACTGTGGCTCTGTGCACTTTGAGTCAGAGGACCTACTATGCTGACCCTGAACATCACAAGAGAGGACAAAACATAAAATCAGGGTAAGTGCGCCAAAGCTGTGATGCCTTTGATTGCCAATTTCTGCCTATCACTGCTTACATCTTTATAAATGCAAGGTTTCTTGCTTGATAATAATCATTCTCTGTAGACAGAATCTTCAAGCCAGGTTGAAAACCTTTTTGACTCTGACAAGCATAGAGCTGGCATATAAACACGTAGCTAGCAATTCACTCCCATGCTTTGCCAATTAACCTTAACCTTTGCCATTAGCAGATGGGGTGCTGTACTCTGCAGTGGTCCTGGACGTGTGGGCAACAACGATGACCCAAACAGAAACCACTATTCTTCAGGTCTTCCTACTGAAATGTTTCCACCATGGCAAGATTTTACTTTATTCTCTTGTTATGACAGTATGGAGGGAAAATATGCAAATCAATTGGGCCAAAACTGGTGCCAGAGACTTCCAGAGAAAGTGCATTTCAGCAGGAGAATTTGAGGATATTTGTGTTCACGCCACCAGAGTAGTCATTAATAACTAGGAACTTGCACAAAGTTGCCAGGCAAAACACAAAACATAATAGTAGATTAATCCCCAGATATTTTCTGCCTAGATTTTAGGAAAGCTAAAAGTGAATATGACAGTAAGACACTGGGGCAGGGCAACTACAGAGCAATTATAGTCATTGATAACCACTGCATATACAGACAATAATGACAGCAATTCAAGGAAAATCCTATAAGTAACCCATTCCAATACTGACTTTCTGTTAGCAGCCACTTTCCATGGAACCATTATATCCTTGCTAATTCAGCCATCCAACTAGCTTGTAAAGTCAGTTTCTAAACAGGGAGCAGGAAATCTTGAGGTTGAGCTGTAACTCTGAAGCGGTTATTTCAGTTGATAGCTACGTGTCAAGCAATGTAGCAATAAATTCTAAGCACTGTGGCGACTTGACATCAACTGCATTATGTGAATAAATACATTGGGTTTTTATAGATTGATATTATGAAGAACAGTCTTTCTCTATATTCATTATACAGCAAGCTCTGCTATTAAACGCTGCTTTGCGCAAAGGCTGCAAACATAATATACAATCAGCTATCAATCTAAAATATGCTTAAGAGCTATTTGAACAACTGAAGTATTTCCTATTGATTTCAGATTAGGAACATATCCACATTCCCACGCCTGCAAAAGAACAATCATTTTCAGAAAAGAATAAAAGTGTATGTCGCAAAATATGTTATTTTGTACCACATCATTTTCCAAACTCTATGGTTACTTTTGTAGCAGTATTTTAACAACTACCTTTAAAGGGAAAGCATTTTGTCACTTACAATCTCTGTTATTCATTGCAAATGGCTAGAGCAAAGATCCAAAAATGTTGCCAAAAGCATACTGTGATCCATTGCAGCTGCATATGAGTTATCATGGAATAGTCAGTCAGTGCAGCACAAGCATTGTGTGAGTTGCACAAGAAAACAACAAAAGTGCTGACTGATAGAAACCTGGAGGAGAATTTAAGTTATACAGCACTATTAAGATAAAGGATCCTATTACTTCAGTGATATTTTGCTTGAGTAAGGGCTTCTGGATTTAGACTGGAATTAATGGCTAGTAAACAGCTTTCAGATTTGGCTTACCATTTGTACATGTTAAAGACTTCTCTATGCAGAAGTGCTAATGTTTGCCTCAACAAACTGTAAGTCATGTTCTCTACTTTTTTAATGAGGATGGAAATGCATATCAGCACTTTATATGCACACACACACTCATACACATATATCTTTATATAGTTATATACTTGAACGCATCAGAGAGTTTCCAGAAAGCCCAGAACAGCATGCTGAAACTTTAAAGGACATAAACCACTGTGATAAAAGCTGTTCTGTTTTTTTACCTCTCAACAATGTCCATGGAGTCCTCTTGTTGGGCTGCCATTAGCAACCCCTTCAGCTCCGATCCCGTGGTTCTCTGATTGAGACTGGAGTTAATCAGAAAGCACCGAAGCAGTAAACGATCACTAGTGCCTGAGGAAAGCAACCAGGTACAACCAAAAAGAAGAGGCTGGCAGAGCATCTAAAAAGACACTCAAAGGGAAGTCAAATATCTTCACTTTGAATGCCTTTTTGGAAAACACCTGAATTTGGCTAAGAAGACATGGAAGCTTTTCTTGATATTTTCTGTTGGAGTAGGAACCTCAAAACACTCATTCACACACAATTAAAGGAATAAGCAGGTTTTTGCAGTGCTAGTTTAGTCCAGGATAAAAGAGATGAAAAATTGGTTTGCTTGACTTTAAGGATGATGAAAGTGCCTGAACTAACAAGGATGAAGATTCAAGAAAGTCTGGGTTATCATTGTATTTGCTAGGATTATGTGAGCAGAAAGGCCACACACTTCTTGCTTTCCAGGATATCTTCTGGTGTACAAAAAGGGCAAATGAAAGAGCGAACCAGAAGTCACAGTGTATACATGTTGCTTAATTAATACTATGTGTTCTGTGATCCATTCCAGAACTGAAGCTGCAAACATAGAGGACACAGCCTACCTCTGGCACAGTGTGCATCAATTTTAAATGTCTGTCATCTCAATGTCAGAGAGCAAAATATCCTTCCTTCACTCCTGTTTTTGAAGAATTTATACATGGTTTTGAAAATTCGGTAGTCAGTCTCAAAAAGTCATGAAGATACTTTGCTGCTGTTAGCTCACCTGCAGCCTGTTATCCCTGCCATAGGCTGGAAAGCCATGCTGCCATTCTGCTTGTTCTTCCATCAGGCATCCACTTCTCTACTTCAGTGTCTTCAGGAAAAGCCAAGTAATGCAGGAGGAGCTTTCATTAATCACATGATACATAATTTTGACAAAATTGTTATGCAGTGAAATTCCCAGGTTATGCAACAATGCAATATCTGCCAAAACAAGCATCATTTTCAAGAAGTGATTAAAAAAAAAAAAACACCACAATTTTTGAAACAGATTTACTGAAATTAGGTAAGTTACAAATGCAGTTATGTTAGCCTGCTATTAATAGCTTAGAGTTGAACGAACAACCTTTCTAACACGTGCTCCTGAGGTTGCCAGACAAACTAATAGGGAACAGTTTCATTTGTTCTTTTTCCCCTTAATGAATCATGCAAAGCGTACTTTCTGATTTTGTTACTCATAAATGCAATTATAATAATTAACTAGCCAGATGCTTTGTACAACTTGCCATCAGATGTTAAGACGAACAACTTTTTCCCTACGTGTTCTAGGAACAAAGTCCAGGCTGAGGACAGAGGTTACAGAGCCGCAGCAGTGAGCACTCAGAGCATCTGCTGAGCCCAGTCCTAAGGGTGCTGCAGGAGCTGAAACATGGGAAGACTGCAAGGCGAGGCTTTATCCTCCTGCCAGAAAACAGTATGAACCATACCCGTAGTGATTTGCTGCTGTCACCTGAACACCCTCTAGAGGTAGGCAAGGGAGTCCTGTTTGAAAAATGAACACAGATCCATCCTGGTAACAGCCTAATCTACCAACAACGCATGTCTGTAACAGCTTTCCTCTGATGTGAAGACAGAAGTTCTGTTAGTGAGCCATCACAACAGTCCAAACACAGCAAACACCCTGTGTGCACACAGAATGCTGCTCTGCAGCACACACTGCGCTGGGAAGGACACCGGTTCTCAGCTGGATGCTTAAGAGATGAGTGGGTCTCACTAACAAACTTATCCCATTTCCAAAATCAAAAGACAGTGCAGTTCTGCCTGACTCTTCTCTAACCTAGTTCAAAATCTTTACAACTGCTCATGTTCTCATCCAGGCTCATCTTCATCTCAGTCATAACTCACAGAGATTTGCCTCTTTTCTACTCAAGACAGAGAAAAATACAATTTTACCAGGGATGACTAAATGCAAAAAACACAGTCTCAATTTTGTAAAATCTGATTTCTTAAATAATGATTGCCAGACAATTATATATTTCAGATTCAGAAATGAATCTTAATTCAGAATTGCATCTGAAATGTCACTATCTGCACTGTCTCAATAATCTGAATTTTCAGTCACTATCTATTATATAATTTATGATTAACTCCTAAAGCTGATGATAAAAGCAAGCCAAAAAGAATACCATGACCTTTCCCTGGAAGGAGGTAATTTACACATGCAGGCAGGCGAAAAAATACTGGAGAGCAAAATCACACAAAGGATTTTTCAAATAAACTTCTCTTCTGACACTTACTGGTGTGATATCACACTTCAGTCTATTACGGACACTTCAGCTCCAGTTTTCCCATTAATGAACTGCAACCATAACAATGCTCAATCTAATTTTCTCGTATTTTTAGAGGTCTTTGATATTTTATAGATGTCATTAACTCAGCTATAGTTTCAAGGAGAAATTCCCTGGACAGGAATGAGACTGCTCTGTAGCAACCTGCAGAAAAAGTCCTTGAGAATTCTATTTCTCAACAAGCCAAAGGGCGTTCAGAAGGATGGGAATTTCCGATGTCCTCCACAGGTCTTCCTCAAAGTGTGCATGTAGCCATGTCATGGGGCTGTACTACTGGGACTCCATTTCATCCCTTCCTCTCAAATTGCCCATATGTGGTTGTTTCAAGCCATCTGTATTTGATGCTCAGATCATACTGTTTGGGGTTCAATGGTTATTCTAACTGGATAGGAAATCAAATTAATTAATATGCACCTTATCATAGAAAAATAGAAATCATAGAAATAGAAAAAATACGGAAAGCTACTGCTTTAAGTCTAACTAAAAGCTTGGCAAATGACTTGAAGCCGACAGAATCCTGTATTTACACGAGCTACCAGAACACATGCGCATACACAGACCCCCAAAACACAACATTTAGCAAGGACAAGTGACCAGAAACACAACCAGGTAGTAAACAAAATGATCATTATGTAGAAAAATGCTACTGATTATTTCCTCAGGTATGCACACAGGGTAGTAGAACTCAATAGAAAACAAAGTAAGGATGAACACCATGCTTTACCTATAAGTATGTTTAATAAACTGATTCACACTGGTACTTGTGCTTTCTCTCTACAGAAAGCAGAAAGAGAAAAAAAGGAAATTAAAAACATATTAATAACGTAAGATAAACACACATTGCTAACTTTACAGTAATAATGTGTCAAGTGAAGCAGATATAGATGAATTATCTCACACAATTTTCTCATCTAGGTGGTGTTTCTTTCCTCTGTACACTCCCACAATTGCACTTACCATCGCTCTCCCTACAAATTGTCTCCAGACAGTGAAATCTCATGTGGAGTGCCCACATTTACATAATGTAACAGCTTCAACAACTTCTGGATAGGCCTTCAGCCCTCCATAAAAGAATTTCAAGTGTCTATAAAGCTTCTACTAAGATGAGTTTCATTATCATCCCTGACTGAGACTGCTTTTACCAATGTTCAGTTTGATCATTTCCACTAACTGCAACATAAGTACAATTAACTACTAAGAACTCCACTAGAAAGTACATCTAAAAGCATTTTCAGGATGAAAATCAAAATTCCTTCTGAAGCACGCTTACAATTCAGGATCGCCACCTGCCTCCTCACAGCCTACAAGAATCCCTCAATGCTCTGGCAAGCAGATTATCTGTGGAAGCCAAATCACGAGGCTAGTCAGCAGCCAGGGTGACCTCTGAGGAAGGCTCACTTCTTTCCAGACAGCCTCTCCAAGCATCAAGTCAAATTTATTGCTTCCAAGACTAAAGGGGGAGAGAAATACATCTATTTGAACAATTTTTTGTATTATATAAAAATTTACAGCACCTGAAGATGTTAGCAAAGCTGTTCCCCTTTTCTTCAAAACTCTGCTTCCTCTTCAGTCTACGGATGCAGTTATGAATAGGTCATTTTCTTGAGGAGAGAAACATCCACAAACAGATGAGCAATTCAGTAAATCACTGATGTGCACCTGTCCTTACTGCAACTAACCATGGAGTGCACAGGAAGCATCCTGGAACCTCCTCAAAAGAACCATCACTTACTTCACATTGCTAATAAAAGCAGTCAGGTGGGCCACAGGCATGTAAAGTTTTGCCTCCCAGCTGCCCTTCAGGAGAGGCTCTGACACAGCTCTGAGGAGCACCCCATAGCCGCCAATGCAGCTCTTGGCCACTGCACAGCTACCAGAAGGGAGCTTGCTGCTTCCCTGCACAAGCTGATGTATGTTTCCTGCCACCAATAAGCATCCTTTTGCAGAAAGCACTAAAGGTCAAGAACATGCACTTTTGTATGGTGATGGCTTATACAACGCACACACACACAAAAAGGACTCTACAGGAACTATTATCAGCTGCACAGAAATGATAAAAGATGCAGAGTTTTGCTTCCTCCATGTAAGTTTACAGCTCACTTCTAACCTCAGTCAGCACAACCTTCTCAGATGCAGAGAAGTGCTTTGCAAGTTGCTGAATTGGTTGTGTGATGCCCTGGCAGCAATAAATCTACTCCAGAACAGGGCCATATGAAAAGACACAGCCCACTCACCATCCCAGCTCCTGTGCTCACACTGGCTTCACTGAGCCACCACCTTTCATGCTCTGAGGACACAGCAGTGCCAACACCAAAAGGATGTGGTTGCTGATCCAGACTGGTCTTCCAGGGACACTGCCCTGTGTTTCCAAACTCACTGTCAAACATGAGCAGCCCCACACCTCCACAACTCACAGAAGTAGTACATACAACACCATGTTTTGTCTTCATTTCCCCCAAAGTCCCTCTCAGGGATATTTAGAAAAGGGCCAGCAGTAACTTTTAAGCACATTCCTGTTAACAGAGCACGGAAGAGGAAGATTTGTGCATTTGCGTTTAATAGGTACTTCTCAGATACCATGGTTATGGATGAGCTTCAGACATGCAAAGCAGTTAAATGTAATGCACTAGAAGAAGTTAGATGCTATTTCTGACTGAATGATCTCAAAAAGGGTGTGTGCAGATGCTCTCATCTGAGACCCAACGTTGTTTTTCTCTCAAAGCAGAAGGATTTTACTCTCTTGGTTTTGTCACATTTGACTCATCACCACTATGTCGACATTTGATATAACAAAATTAAAATAATTAAAACTCTACAAGAACTCCTGAAAGGCTTAATGTGTTCCCTTCTTTTAAGAAGGGAGCCTCAAAGCAAGGAGGTAGCCAAGATAAACAGGAATATATTGCTTAAATCACAAAGTGAGCAGGTACAGAACTTCCTTTCTTCATTACTCCTAATCAGTTTAAGAGCATGATTCATTTGTTAAACTTCATTTGATACAAGTTGTGGAGAAAAAATTGAATTACCCACTGAAGGCACAACAGAATAATTAAAGGAAGTAGGTATTCAGTGCCTTTGAAAATCCATCTCTCCTCGAGAGAATGCTTATGTACATATTTGTGTCCATCTCCGTAAAGGAAAACATGCACGCTTATGCCTGAAAATCCTTGGATGAAGGCCAAGGAGAGAAATTCAGGTATGTGTAGCTGAGGACTGTGCCCTCCTCTGAATCACCAGGCCCAAGCACACATACTAAAAAGTACCCCCATCTTCTTTCAAGTAAAAACCAGTGCCTAAGACTACACACTTCAGTGCCCAAAGTGATGAATGTTTTGCTGAGCTTCCTGTAATGCAATTACACTGCAACTCAGACAGCTAACAAAAGATAAATCTGCTGTTCCACGGAAAATTGAACACACTTCTTGATCAAGTACAGATGAACCGTGAGACAGCCTTTCAACTTTAAATTAATACATAAAAGGAATTCTACTTTGACATAAGCATAGCAACTGCTTAATAATACTTTGCAATTGGTAAAACCACACAGCTGATGAATTTTTTGCCTTAACTGAGCTGCAGTGGCAATCCCTCGGGCAATCAGTCTGCTCTCTTACAGGAAACCTGCAAATCAAACTCTCAGTAATATCTCTCTCAGAAAACAGAAAGGGAAGGTAATACACAGGTTTTCCCCAATTCAGTGTAGTCTACAAAATACATATATAAAAGCAAATCTCAGTACGTCTTCATTAAAAATAAGAATGCATGCTCTGTTGTGTGAATGGTTTGCAAAGGGAAAGAACAAGATTTATTGTACAAAAAAACACACTAAAACATCTGCCTTACTAGGAAGAATGCAGCAAATAACAGCAATTCTGTTTACACGTTAAAGATTTTTCATTACATGGTACATTTTTTGTGTCCTACTCCTTCTTATTTTATCTGCATGGAGACCTAGTTTTCCTTCTACTGAAATCTGTGGCAAATATCATTAATTCTCATCAGACTTAAAATTAGAGTAATGGAAATATGACCACACAAAACAGGTGGACATTAAGTTTTGTCTGTAAGCTATCAAGAAACAACAAGCACTGACTTCTCAATGTTAGAAGTTTACATTACGTAGGAATAATTACTTTCATTTTCCCTGTGTAACTCTCTTTTTCCCCTTAAACATTAATAAAATTACAGAACGTGTTTTTCCATTCTACTAGAGCTATCAAAAAAGTTTCCCTTCATTTTCATGAGTACTGGTAAATATATTAATGATGATTATTCTAATGAATAGTGAATGAATTATTAAAGATGGAATGACCTTTGGTATTCCATTTGATTGATGCTAGAAGTTAATTACAACTATAGAACTTTTTTTTTTTTTTTTTTTCAAATTCAGTTCTACTTTTATCCTATTCAAGAAACTTAATTCATCACAAACAACAGTATAGGGTGAATAGCTATTAAAAATACAGTCAAATTTGGAGGACTGGAAGCTCATCACAACGGCCCAACTATATAAAGTGAAAATAAATGTCATGATAAAGTCAAATACTGCAGAAACTTGAAAACTATTAAAGAGAAAAGATCCCTAGCTCATTAAGCCACCACCTAGAACTGTCTCACAGGCAATTAAAATCTTCCTAAAATCTTCCAGGCAGTCTCTAAAGCAGCTACTCCTTTTAGACAGCATATACTTAATGCCGCATAGCGTATTCATAGATCATCCTATCCTTGGCCAAAGCCTATAAATCCAAGCAATATTTCTCACCATGTGGGGCCACAGAAAGTTCATCAAGATTCTTCACCTCATGCAAGACATTCAATAAACAAGACAAGAAAAGCCACTTCCAAGACTGACACAGAAAGAAAAACATATAAAAGGGACAATTGTAACCCCTCAACACAACACTAAATGCAAGGTTATAAAATGAGGGGGAAAATTACAACCATAAAGAAATACCTAACTTGCATCAAGAGTACAGTAGGAGAAGAGATGGAGAAGACTCCACTCAGGCTGTACATTTATTTAAAACCATTGAAGGCAAGTACTAATGTAATAGACGATCCGTCTCATTAACCACATACTGAACTCAATCACATTTGAGAAATAAACATTAGGATAGAAGAAAGCCCATGTGCATAAGTTTTCATCAGACCCAGCCCTGGTGACTTACCCAATGTAAATCTTTCGTTCTCTTATTTCTAAAGAGTTGAGGAACAGTTTTGATTTTTATGGCAAAGCAGTATTTCTCCTGGACCACTGTTGTTAAAGTCGGAAAAAAAGGAGAGTACAAATGAGGGAACTGAAGAAATCAAGCCTGAAGAGTAAAACATCAAACAATATTTTGCTAAGGTAAGTGAAAACCACTTCTTATGCACATCACATGATAGGCATTGCCAATCCTGAACATCCTCACATGGGCAACAGTTCTCTCACAAAGACTGAACAAATACAGAAATTATGCATTATGCAGTGCCCACAACCGAGTTCCAAGGACTGTGCCTGCAAACAGTGGTAGGAAACCACAGGAATGAAGCCTTGTTGACCATTTTATCTTCTCTGATGATCACAGAGAAAGCACAAAGAGCTTTGAGGACTGATATATATGCGTGGTTAGAGTATGAGTGAGATGCACTACAAAAGAGAATACAGGAAGTGAACATAAAAACCCCGGAAGTCCAATTAAGAGAAGAGTAGAGCTCTGCATCTGGTGCAGTCAAAAAAAACCAACCAAACACCAACAAACAACAACACGCATCCATATGGGCACCCAGGAGCATCAGTGAAAAGGGCCTTTATTCCGCATGGCTTCACACTGGGGCACCCATTTGTCCCCCTCAAGTGAAGCAACAAGAGATGGGCAGAAACTGGGAGAAACCCAGGAGAGCAACCAAGAAGGTCTGGGGCCTTGAGTATGTGCTTCAGATAGAGGTTAGAGAGCTGAGCTGATTCAGTATGGCAAAGGAGTGATCTACCAATCGACTGGCAGCTCACAGCAAGCCAAGCAACCTGTAACTCCTGGAAGAGAAACTGCAAGGATAAAGAAGACATATCCTTCTTAACAGTGTCAAACGGTACAAAAAGGGGCATATGAGAGGTTCAGATTAACTCTCCCTCCACCTCAAACCCTCTATTTTTCAACAAAAGGGTCAATGCAGGCCCGCGAATGGTTCCCCAGCAGGGCTGTGGCACCTCCACCCAACATGCAAGACCTGTCCAGGCAAAGATTGGTTGACATGAACAGGAAGAGAGTGTCTTCCAGTTGGACTGGAAAAATACCAGGATCCTCTCCAAAGAATGCTTCAAGGAGAAATGTGCACACATGCAGAATCACAGACTGCCCCAGATGGAACAAAATCCTGTGGATTTATACTGAAGTGCATCTAAGTGTTCACAATCATTCACTACCTGAAAGAAAATAGTTATTAAACTTTAGGTGGCAGCTACAGAGCTTTAAATTTTTACTTCCTCAGTGCCTAATAAAACTAATGTGGCTGTACTACACCATTTATGTTGTCAACTCTGCTAACACTTGCTATTTGTTAATATCATACTGTTATTTGTTTAATAAATAAATAAATAAAAATGCATTGTTATCCTAACAATAGCAGGCCCTGGTTCTGAAATGGTACTTGAAAAGATAAAAGCCATAGTACTACCTACAGAACACCTGGAATGAATTCATTAGATGCCTGTAGATAGATAAAGTGACAAAATCATTTTTCCTGCTATTAGGCAAGTATTTAGGGTGTTGCACATTACTGTTTCTAACCATAGTGTGGAACCTCCTTAATTATACTGATAGCGCAGTAGATGATGCAGCACTGTTAGCTCAGATGCAAAGATTCTGCTGTTCAACAGCCATCTGATCACTAGTAAAAGATGTCCAGAAAGCGGATATGGAAAGCTAAAACAGCTAGTTAAATTTTTATCGTATTGCTAGATTTTTTTCAGAAATCACTTCCCAGCCTTTTTCCATTCAGAATGTGAAAGGATGAGAAGAAGATCATATTGGGTCACACATCCATCTAGCCCTGTATCTTATCTCCTCCAGCAATGACCAGTGGAGAAGGCCCATGGAAACATCAATACAGGTCATGCAAAGTGATACGCACCTGGCCCTGCAATTTGTGATTCAGAAGCTTCCAGAGCAAAAAGTGATGGCTTTGTAACAATAAGGACATTGCTGCAACAAATACCAAAGATTTCTGCACACAATTTATTAAAAACAAGTCAGTAAGAAACAGCAACTTCATTATTCCTGAAATAAATCCAATGTGTAAAAATCAGGAAACTTATGCAACTAATTTTAGCAATAAAAACAGTATCAAGAGTAGTGCTTCTTCTGAACTTCTCATGCCGCTTCTTTTTCAGAATGTTAGTTAAGAATAAAAACAATACAAAATCCTTATGACAGCTGAAGATGAAACCAGAGTAAAAACTGCAACAAATCTGTAATTCCTCTTTGATCATTCCAATGCAACATCTGCACTTTCTTATCAAACCAAACCACCAAAAATAATCTAAATAAACAACAGTAACAACAGAAAGAAATCCTACGACATCCCAAGGCAACACTTCTAAGGAGTCAGAATATTAGAGCATTCTAACACACCTCCACATGCATTAAGTATGTACATATTGCACGTGTAGGTGATGTGGTGTGGAATAAATACTTCATTAGCCAGAGTTTAAGTTACTGACTCATTACTCATAAACGGTATAATTTTCTTTTCTGATTTTATAAGCGTATGTATTTTAAGTGTTCCTAAATGAGTAAGAACAGAAGACGGTGGTACTTGCAGTAAAGACTTCAACTAAGGCTGCTATGTAAAGCGCTACTGAGATACACAGAAAGGAACGTGTAATTTATGGCTCTGCAACCCAGCACAATTATACTGAAGTCAAAGGGCCATGCTCAAGAGTAAATTGTTCGCCTGGTAGCAAAAGTTTGCAGAGCAGCTGCCTTCAGCAGCATTTTGTAAGTTTGTATTTACAAATAAATTAACCAACTGGCTTCCAAATGTAGGTCACAAAACTTGCCCCTCAGGTGGCTACCTAATTTTCTCTCTGCTTTGAAAAGACCAATAGAAATAAGAGCAAAGCGGGCATCATCCCCATCTCTCAAGCATTTTACCCTATGGAAATGAGAAATGAAAATACCATTACAGAGATGGTTTCTTGTTTGCAGCCAGCGCTAATTCTCCCCTTTTCATTTCAAAAGCAACAGGCAGGCCTAAATAAACCCACACATCTAAGACTTCAAACTGAAACACTGAAAGCACCCTTGGTTTATTTCAGCCCTGCATATTAGCATGAGCTTCATTTCAGAAGAACACTGATCTAGACGTCGGGCTTACAGCAGAGAGCCCATTCATTCCTGGAGCAGAAATAGTGCTGAGCTATAACAGGCTCTGCAGAGTCAAGAATAGCTTAGCAAGGGTAGCAGTGGACATCTCATCCACATACGTGGTGATGTCTCCTCAATTGTGAGCTATTTCAAGACTTTTTTTTTTCCTGACCCCATCAGGGAGTATGTTTTCCAAGATGCATTTGTATTTGATCAGGTGGATGGAAAAAGTGAGCCAGGAACAGCAACAGTATTATCTGAATATCTGGCAGTCATTAAATCAGAATTAAATAAATACATTAAAAGAATTTATAGACCAGCAAGGGAGATGTCTGACAAACTGATATCCAATGGAACTAAAAAAAAAAAATGACTTAAAGGCAGGAACTGTAGCATCAGGGATCCTTGAAAGTAACAGTATCACTAGCACCTCTATATTACAGCAATGTTTCAAGCTCTCTCACACAGATTTGCTCAGATAAAAGATAGAATGTTGGCATTTTCAGCTGCCAAAATTGCCATTTGCAATTAAAAATTAAAACTGGCACCCATTCCATGCAGGCAATTATCTAAAGGCAGCTGGCGATCTTCCTTGTTTACAGTGCTGCTGTGTCATGACTTCACTCTGTTTGGAAATTTACTTTTTTTTTTTTTTTTTTTTTTTTTTTTTGAGGTTTAAACTTGTCAACTTTATTTCCAGCTTAAACTTTATTCATTTTAATGGTTTTCGTGGCGATGTCAAAGATTTCAAACTGCAATTCCTGGACTTTCCCATGGCACTGCAGTGCGACAGCTCCTGGCAGCTCGGCGATCCTCACGCCCTTCCCTACGCACTGCCTATAGGATACCACCTGTAGGAACCGAAACAGCGCGAGGTTCGAAACTAATGCCCTCCAAGAAGAAAGCTCAACCTGTATCTGATTTGCACAGCCGGACGGCAGGGGCAGCTCTACCGAGCGGCCACAAATCCTCGTGCTGAAGGCGTGACAGCGCTACGCCCGTTTCTGCCGCTTAGCGCTCGCAGCACGTTGGTTCTCCCCGGTCAGTGCGGCCGCGGAGCATCTCGCGGAGCGGCACAGCGCCGTGCTCTCGGCAGAGCACAGTTCCACCTCCGAGCCTTTCCCTTCGGCGGGGTTCGGGACTGCCCCGCTGCGGGGCGAGGAGCGCTCCCTGCGTGCCACTCCGCGTTCGGGGTCCCCATCCCCGGGAAAAGGGCCGTGCGCGCTGCGGCACCTCTCCGGAACGGTACCGGAGCCCCGAACGGCGGAGATCGCCGGGAGCTTGAGGAGTACCGCGGGGGAATCGGTCCGAGTTTCACAGATGTGACGACAACAGGACGCGGTCAGCGCCGCGCTCCTCGAAACGAGGAGAAGCGAAAGGAGGAGTCATTCGAGCGGAGAAAGCGCAGAAATGTCACAGAGCAGAGCGGGCAGGGCATGAGGTCTCAGAGCCGACGCTCTCCCTCAGCGCTTCCCCGTCCCCCTGGCCGTGCGCACCCCGGATGGCCGCACACGCGTGGAGAGACGAACACGGCGCGGGGGTTGGGGGCGGGAGGGGAAAGCGGGCGGAGTGTGGCCAACTTTGGCACCGAGCCGCTCCTTCCGCTCAGCGCTGCGAGGCCCCTCGTGGGCCGTCCCGCCGCGGGCACTGCGCGCCGGCCGGCTCTCGCGGCGCCGCAGGTGGCAGCGGCCGCCCTGCTCCCGGCTCGGGGCCGTTCGGGGGGAAAGCAGCGAGACCGGGACGCGACGGACTGGGCGGGGAGGGGGTCGGTACTCACACGAAGGCGTGGTAGACGAAGGCCCAGCCGCGGGGCCGCTCCAGCACGTTGTACAGGTAGTTCTGCAGCCGGCGATACTTGGCGTTCCGGCGGCAGCTCGGCCCGCTGCTGTAGGACAGCGGTTTCCCTAGCAGGCTCATGCGGGCGCCGTGCTTCCCGCGGCGGCCCTCCCGCAGCCCGGTGGGGGCGGCCGCGCCGGCGGTGCCCAGCAGCAGCAGGCCGTCCCCGCGGGCCGCCGCGCTCGCCAGCGTTCTGCCCCGGCCCGATTCCACATCCTTCATGCCCGCCGCCGCCGTGCCGCTCTTCATCCAGAGCCCCGCCGCGCCGCCCTCCTCCCCGCCGCCGTGGTTGCGGGGCATGGCATCACCCCGGGCGCCGGGGCGGGCACCGGGGCCGCGGCGGAGCAGGGCGGCCAGGCACCCCGCGGCGGCGGCCCGCAGCGAGCAGCGGGAGCCGAGGCTCTCCGGGCGGCGCCCGCGGGGCGCGGGGGCGCGGGCCACTTTGGGCGCCCGGCGAGGCGGGCCGGGCTGCGGCAGCTTCGCGGGGGCCCCCGTGGGCGCGCCCTCCTCCTCCTCCTCCTCCCGGGCGGCGGGGCCCCGCCGCCGGCCCCCGCAGCGCCGCCCGGCGTGGCTCCGCGGCCCGGGCGAGCCGGCGGCTCGGAGCGCCGGACGGGGCTCGCCGCCCCTCTCTCGCTCCGGGCGGGCCGGGTGAGCAGCCGCTCCCGCTGCGAGCGGCGGAGAAAGTCGGCGCCGGCGGGCAGCAGACAGGACGCGGCGCCCGCGGGTTAGTTGCGCTCCCGACAGATGTCCATTTAAGTCCGAGAAAGTCCCAAAAGTGCGGCGGCGCGGGGGAGGCTCGGCCGGCGGCGGGACCCCGCCGGCTGCGGACGGAGAGAGCGGCCGGTCCGGGCGGGGCGGCGGGAGAGAGCCGCCGGGAGTCCCCACGAGGGGACGGCGCAGTCCCGCGCTCCGCTTCGGCTCTTCCGCGGTTCCCCGGACCCGAACTGGCAAATCCCGGGAGCGGTGGGGGCTGCCCGGGTCCGCGGTTCCCTCCCGGCGCGGCGGCTCCGGCCCCGGCGCGGTGCGTCCGGAGCGTAGCGGTGCGGCCGCGCGGTGCCCGAGCAGCGCCGAGCAAACAAAGCTCCCCCTGCCGAGAGCGGGCCTTTAACGCCCCGGCGCATCAAGGTGAGCTCGCGGAAAAAAAAAAAATCCACCCCTCCACGCCGCAGGCGCGGCCACTCCGCGCCTCCCCGCCCGGCGCCGCGCCGCCGTTGGTCGCTGCTCGTTGCAGGGCGCGGCGGTGTCCCCCGACTCCGGGGGACCTCTTCGCGGCCGCGGGGTGGCGGAGTGCGGGACACACGCGGGCTCTGCATTGATGGCTTATTGATAAGGGCGAGTGGCACTGGTTTTGCAGCTTGAGCGTTGTGTGAAAACAGGGCGCTGATTTGTGTTGGGTTATTGGAAGTGGTAATGTGGGCTCCGGTGTTGTGTGAAAATCAGTAGGGGCATTCTGAAATACAATTAAATGTCGGCTTGGTGGTGTTTTGTTTTTTTTTTTCCCCTTCATAGTGGCCAGTTAGAGAGGCCGGGCTCTCAAGCATTTGATTAACACACACATCTCCAACTATCAGAAGTGATGTTCTGGGTGACAACATCAACTTGTGCCTCTCTAAAGCAACATGGAGGCATCTGCAGTGCCCCCAGAGCCCCCCAATCAGCTGTCTTTAAGTAGAGAGCTCTATCTTCCTCCCTTCTTCATTGCACTTCCTCCTCCCCAGCAGCCAGCTGCACACAGGAACTGTCTCACACGAGCTGCAGCAGCCGCTCGCGCTCTTGGTGCGGTGTGGCAGAAAGAGCACACATGTCAGAGCAATGTTAAGGAGTTGCTGTAAGTATCCACAGCAACCCTATTAATATTTAAGCTTTCCAGTGGCACACATCTACTCCTTCTTTGAATTGTAAATCGAGTTAGTTAATCCTTCATTTACCACTTGTTTGCATTTCTGTGTTTCGATATGCAAAGGTTTGTTTTTGTCCTCAACGACAGCACAGCATGCCTCAAAACAGCAGGGCTTCAGTGCTGGGCTTATGCTTTCCTTCTCCTGGCCTTAGTCAGTGGAATTAAATACTGGAGGATGGGTGCTCAAGTTCTGGAAACCTGAACTGTGCCATCAAAGTGGAGTGTGCATGGTCCTGTGGAGTGGGCA